TACCACCAAAACAGTCAGGATGTTTAGTAGCTAGGTTGACTTGGATGCATCAATATTCAAAACACATTAAATTTGTATAGAAATGCGCATTAAAAAAAAGTTGGTGGCTAGATTATCCGTTTGCTTAATTCCAGTAAGGCTGACATCTTGAGGATATGACAGCAGAGTCATTCTTGCTACCTGCCACAGGCTGTAAAGGACATTATCTCATTTAAAAACACTGGAGGATGAGGAACACAGATGGACCGAGGTGATGAATCAGGCCCATTCACTCGGTCACCTAATAGCACTACATAAAGAAATTGCATAAGAGTGAAACTGAGACATTTTGTGCACACTGTCCTCTCATTACAGCAAATAACCATTTTAACTTGTGGATCTGGAAAGAAGTGAACGCTTAAAGAGACATCATAACGCTGCAGTCGTGATTAGAAAACAAGAAAACTAAACTGCTGCTAGCTTTCACTCGTCTCCGGTGTCTGCTCATTCCCCTGGCACTGCATAAATTACCAATTATCACTACACAATATGAACAAAGAGAAAATTACATGATCCAAGCCTCAACAATTTACCCTTATTCTCCCTGTCAAAGGCAGTACACTGGTTCAGATGCATTGCTTTAAGTGTGAGGTGTCTCTTATTACACCCATTACAATCTCAGACAGCCCGTGTCTCTGGATAGTAATGTCATGCCGGGCTGTGGCAAGGCTCACCCATTGTTCTCCACGGGATGTTTATAGCTTTGTGCCTGATATATGATAACCAATAAGTAAGAGGTAGTAATTACAAGGCCCACACTCCACCGGATCGCCTGATGAATGTGTGAAATAAAAGACGGGGGGGTTCTTTGTGGAGGCTAGTTATTACAAAGCCATTCAGAGGTTTAACATACGGCAGTATTATGAGCGGGCGAGCGTGAGCAGGGGGAGAGATAAATAGCATATATCCATTTCCTCCACCAAATGGCAAAGTAAATAGCACTGACCTTCTTAAAACAAATGCGCTGCAAGCCAGCCAATGTCCAAATCAAAATACTTAGTTGCACATACTATTTTCCCCACTCTCCGCTCAGGTCAAGAAAAATAACACAATTAAGTGAAATAAAAATACATAAAGAAAGCACAATGGTATCCTTTTGTAGAGTCCAGGACTCTAGCAGTGGTGCGGTCAGACCGTGTGTCTCCGAAACTGATCAGCAGATCAGTGCCATTTATTCTTCATGGATAAGTGCAGAATAATCAAAAGCCTCCTGGACTTAATGTGCACAATTGTTAATTTCTAAATCAATCCAGTTAGTGGTATCACAATGAACTACAGTACTAGTTTGACATTTTGGAAAATATGTTTATTTGGGGGATTTTTTGCCAAGAGTTAGATGAGAAGATTGATACCACTCTTGTTATTGTATCTGTTCGTTCAGGCTCTAGCCAGCAGCTAGTTAGCTTAGCTTAGCATATTGACTGGAAATGCTAGCTAGTTTTTGTGCAAATAAAACATAAATCAGTTTGCTTTATTGTTCTTAGATAACCCTCAATGACACTTATTGCGGGTCAGTTAACTTGAATCCAAACTGCTTTGAGGGTTAAACCTTGATCCACCAGAGGCTTTGTGACTTGGATGCTAATGCATCCTGATATGTGCTGCTTACCTTGGAGAAAGATATCGGTCTGATAATAATCTGAGGCCTTCTAAGGGCACACTCAGGCTTCTCCAGGCCCTCTCCAATGACCCTTCGTCTTTGAAGTGTGAACTTGAAAACGTTTTAGCGGAGAGGCTGCTGAGTAGTAATGGAACTTCAATTCATTTGATTCACCAAAAGCCTCGCCGCTGACGTACAATGAGATATCATCTCGGAGTCTGGAATGTTTTTCCTCCCCCGCTCGATCAGGCTTAATTTGAAGTTGAAGGCTTTTTCTTCCCTACCTGAAGCCAGATCTGATAAAGCAGCACACAGTGCCTTCATCTAGCTCAATTTGTCATCTAGAGGAGGAGATTTCCTTTCATAAGGCACAGGCAAATTTATAGCCCTATTATACAAAGTGTAGTATTTAAACAGCAGCATTTTCACACCTCATTGGACGAGATCTTAATATTGTGGGATACAGTCGTCTTGAAGGAATAGTTGGGGGGGGAATGGTTATTTGCTTTCTTGCTGAGAACTTGATGAGAACATTGATATCATATCTGTACAGTAAATATGAAGCTAGAGTCAGCAGTTGGTTAGCTTAGCTTAGCTGAAAGACTGGAAACAGGGCACAATTTTGGAAGGGCAATGCATTCTGAAATAACGAGATTATTATCTTGGTATCTTGGTGCCGTTGTTATGCGTCGCTGCTGTTGCGTCGCTGCTGCTGTGCTCGCCGCTAATGCCTGTCTGCTGTGCGCCGCTGCTAATGCTTTGGGCTATGGGTATTTGGTAAAACTGCTTGTAAATTAGGACTGTCCTGAATTTTTCGGGATGTCTGGTTTCCCTCGGCACATATCGTGCTTATTGCTATTGATTGATACTATTATGCCCCCTAAAGATTGTGTGCTGGTATGGTGTAATAATTACTAAAGCAATTGCAAATGAAAGTGATTCTGTGACAATTATCCGCATGGCGGTTTTCACTTAATTTTGGTACCCATGGACAAAAACATAAATCAGCGCCTATGAACATGGCTTTTGATATTTAGCCCTGTTGACTTTATTATTTAGGGTGTCGGGGAGGGTTTTAAATTTGTTTTAAATTACAATTTTCTTTTACAGGGGCAGACCCTCAGGCTCCTGCCAATTATGTGTCTTTCCTCCATTTTAAAACATTTCCAGGCGCCCATGCTGCTAGCTAGTCACCTTTGGGTAGAGCCAGGCTAGCTCTTTCAGGCTTGCTAAGCTAAGCTAATGATGTTTGTCTCTAGCCTTGTATTTTGCATACAGACATGAATCTTCTCAATTCACTTTGACAGACAAGTGAATGTAATTTCCCAAAATGTTCAGCTATTCCTTCAAAGAATTGGTTGTTTTCTGCAGTTTAGTTCACGTGCAAGAGGCAACACAGCATCATACTTATTTCTCAACACATTCAACATTATTCATCAGCATTGATCTAAATGTTACAACGTCACAAGTCACTTTCAGACCAGACAAGTGCAATGCTGCCTTCAGCAGAGTTTTAACAGGGGGGCTAATAGAGACAGTATGCAGTTGACAGCCAATTCAGTCCTGCAGGGCGAGAGGCCAAAATCCTTGAGTTCCAGCCCTGTTTGAGGAAAGATCAAACGCTCAGTGCAACAGCTGTTGAGCTGGAGGCTCTCCCCACTCAGCCACTAGATGGAAACAATAGTCCTCTGCACCGCACAATCACTGTTGCATCCATTTGTTGCATGTTATGCCTGATTCTGTGCACTGTTTTGTCTTTTGCCATCATGCCAATTCAAATCATCCTATCTACGGATCCATTGTGTCTTTGTGTTTTTAGAGGGACCATCCTTCGACATGGTCCACCCTTGAAGCACCTGCCCCCCACTGAAGTGTCCTTAAGGAAGCCAATGAAACCCCCTACCAGCTGCAGGAGAGCTTTGTTTAACAGAAGAGAACTGATCTGCAGGGCTCAATAAAGTTTCATGTTAAACTGCTTGAAAACATTAGCAGAAAATGGTGACAGAGTAATTATGAGGCAGCAACAGTAAAACACCACTGGGACTATTGTTTTACAAGAGGAGCAGGCTTTTCTCTACGACTATACTGGAGAAAAACTATACTGGTGTTTGAGCAGCACAGATAAAGTCTTATGGAAGCACAGGATGAAGTTTTTGTATCACATTTTAAATTTTCCTTAATAGCTCTTATATGTATAATTGCTTAATTAATGATAATACAAGTTTCAGATCCTTTTGAATTGTAAATATTACTCTTTGTGTTGATAACTGACTGTACAGGCTGCTCCTGACGTTGTCACCCACCAGTGGTCTAAAGTAACTTAAATATCTGATATCACGTAAAAAATACAACAAGACAGGGGCCATTATTTCCTGCATATGGGTACTTTTAATTATTACTTGAAGTATTTTGCTGATTATTCTTTACTTTTACTCAAGTTTGTCAAACTAGGCATCTAGCTTTACTACATACAAATGTAATCTTAATACATACAAGTGTATAATTAAAGATCTGGGTGAGTTGGGGCCCACAGCTCATGTTTTGCTCTAAGGTCCCCTAGCAGGTCAATCCGGCCCTGTATATACTAGTATAAATTTGAATGCAGGACTTTTACTTAGAATGGAGTATTCTTCCATGTCTACGTTGAGTATACTTCTGCTCCCACTGTTTATGAGTAGTGATAATCCCATAAACTAAGGGCCATTCTGCAAAAAGAGCAATGGTGGGTGAGGTATCATTTTACTTAAATAAAAGTAGCAACACTGTGAACATCCTGCATTCAAACTGCTGCAGAAGCTAAATGTAGTCGTCATACAAAGAAACCTGTGAGTGTAATACAATTATACCACTCAATTATTAATACCAATGCATCGATATCTAAGGAGCATTTCATTGTTGTAGTTTGTTGGGATGATGCTAATTTGAACCACTTAACTCTGTTTTGTTGCCGATGTAAAATCTTAATTTAAAGTAGAGCAAATTGTCTGTCTAATAAATTAAGTAGGCTAGGACTAAAATATGTTTCTCTGCAGTATGAAAAGGAAAAACTCAAGTAAAATGCAAGAACCACAAATGTGTCAGCAGCCTATTGGGTGATAACCCACACAAAGAGTAGCCCTACTTGAATGCAGGCCATTTTGAATTACTTTTACCTGTACATTTGCAATTCACACCTTTTCGTATCGCTATTTTACTCTAGTTAAGAGTCTCTGCATGAAATTCAAAGCAGACACGTGAGAGGTATTTGACCATCCTCCAGCATCTGTCTGATAATTTCCCTTGTGTGGTGCTGCCGGTTGAAACGTGAGCGTCACGGAGCCCCCTCCTCTACCCCCTCCTCCTCCTCTCGGTCTCTCCCCGACTGAAGTCCCACTGAGCGGCTCTCAAACTTCAGTGTCGAGCCTGAAAGCGGAGGACGAAGAGCGGCGAGCCGACAGACACACACACACAGACAGACAGACAGACTCGCAGCTAATCAACGGCTTTTTTGGAGCCGCAACAAACGGCGCAAACGTCCGCTTTGATAACTGCTTTTTATCAACGGTTACGAACGGTCGGTTTGAGGACTTCCACTCAGCTCTCCGTGTTTGTATTTTGATGGTTTTTCCTCCGTTGTTTTGTCGAAGTTTCCGACTGTCACGTCTGAGGTACGGAGTGTTGGATCGATCGTTTTAATTCAGCACTAAATAATTGAACACTTCGCGACTTGAGGCAGCTTCTTTTAGGAGTGTTTTTCTTTCTGTCGGAGCAGTAACGGTAAAGGCAACACTTGGACCTGCCTTCGCCATGGGGAAATAGCGGGGGATCTGTCCGCGAGCGACCCCGCGTTTCTGACTCTTTCATGATCTAAAAAGACAGAGCTCCGTTTTTTGACTGAAACAATGGGCATGGACGGCTGTCCGCTGAAGGTGGGGATTTTCCTGTGGTGTCTGCTGGTGATTTCTGGCTCCGGCTTCGAGATCGGCTCCTACGACCTGGAGCGAGGCAGACCGGCCAAGTGCGAGCCCATCGTGATCCCCATGTGCGAGGGGATCGGCTACAACCTCACCCGGATGCCTAACTTCATGGACCACGACGACCAGAAGGAGGCTGCCATCAAGCTGAACGAGTTCGCCCCACTGGTGGCGTACGGCTGTGACGTGCACCTCCGCTTCTTCCTCTGCTCCCTCTACGCCCCCATGTGCACGGACAAAGTGTCCACCTCCATCCCCGCCTGCAGACCCATGTGTGAGCAGGCCAGGGAGAGGTGTGCCCCCGTCATGAAGAAGTTCAGCTACACCTGGCCGGACTCGCTGGACTGCTCCAAGCTGCCCACCAGGAACGACCCCAACGCCCTGTGCATGGAGGCCCCTGAGAACGAGACCAGGACGGAGGTGAAGAAAGGCGAGGGCATGCTCCCGGTGCCCCCTCGCCCCAGGCAGCCTGGCAGCGCCCGCTCTCCGGGCGGCATTGGGTCCTGCGAGAACCCGGACAAGTATCAGTTTGTGGAGAAGAGCCAGTCGTGTGCCCCCCGCTGCTCCCCGGCTGTAGACGTCTTCTGGTCCAGGCAGGACAAGGACTTTGCCTTCATTTGGATGACGGTGTGGTCCGTACTCTGCTTCGTCTCCACCGCCTTCACCGTCCTCACCTTCCTCCTGGAGCCCCACCGCTTCCAGTACCCCGAGCGCCCCATCATCTTCCTCTCAATGTGCTACAACGTCTACTCCGTGGCCTTCGTCATTCGCTCGGTAGCCGGTGCCGAGAACATCGCCTGCGACCGGGAGCACGGAGAGCTGTACATCATCCAGGAGGGGCTGGAATCGACGGGCTGCACCATCGTCTTCCTCATCCTCTACTACTTCGGCATGGCCTCTTCCATCTGGTGGGTCATCCTCACCCTCACCTGGTTCCTGGCTGCAGGGAAGAAGTGGGGCCACGAGGCCATCGAAGCCCACAGCAACTACTTCCACATGGCCGCGTGGGGCATCCCGGCTCTGAAGACCATCGTCATCCTCACCATGAGGAAGGTGGCTGGAGACGAGCTGACGGGACTGTGCTACGTGGGGAGCATGGACTCCGGGGCGCTCACGGGCTTCGTCCTCATCCCTCTGTCCTGCTACCTGATCATCGGCACCTCCTTCATCCTCACCGGCTTCGTGGCTCTCTTCCACATCCGGAAAGTGATGAAGACGGAGGGCACCAACACGGAGAAGCTGGAGAAGCTCATGGTGAAGATCGGCATCTACTCCATCCTCTACACGGTGCCGGCCACCTGCGTCATAGTCTGCTACTTCTACGAGAGGCTGAACATGGACTACTGGAAGCTGAGGGGGCTGCAGATGAAGTGCGGGTCGTTCAGCGGGCCGAGCAGCGACTGCTCGCTGCAGACGTCGGTGCCCACGGTGGCCGTGTTCATGCTGAAGATCTTCATGTCGCTGGTGGTCGGCATCACCAGTGGCGTGTGGGTGTGGAGCTCTAAGACCCTGCAGACCTGGCAGGGCCTGTGCAGCCGGAAGCTCACCGACAGGACTAGAAGTAGAAAACCCTGCAGCGGCGTCAGCTGTGGCAGCACACACTGCCACTACAAATCTCCTGCTGTGGTCCTGCACATGGCCAAGACTGACCTGCACTCAGACAACCCTACACATGTCTGAGAGGTAGCATGACACACACACACACACACTGACAAATGCAACCACACACACACACCTATGCCCTGAATAAGGAGCTGCTAAAGACTTTGTGGTGGAATTGAACTGTCCGTTGCTCTGCTGCTGCCGAGGGGACAGAGGACACACAGGCCTCACTATGAGAAACTAATCTATCAACAGTATTCAATGCATAAAGGGAAATGTTCAGTATTGTTACCCATATCTTTCTGTTTCATAGTGATCTGTGCAGTAGACATGCCCAGCGTTTCAAAGCAAAAAAAAAGACTGTTATGGGAGGTATGTTGGGAAATATTCTCCTCCCCAAAAGTGGCATGATTAATAACTGTATAAATCTGTATAAATGTTTTATTTATTGTAAATATATTTAATTTAAAGTTGTCTCTTATGAGATTTGTTGTTTAGATGCATTTATTAAAAAGGTAAAGGGAAATGAAGTGCCTTTTATAAGAACTCTGGTTCTGGTCTTTTTGGAGGAAAATAAATTTGTTGAATTCCTGTTCACCTTCCTCGCTGCCTGGTGTGATTGTTTGTAACTATCTCACATTCTTATGAACGTTTAACCATCTTAACAGTCTTAACAGTTAAACTGACTAATAGTCACAATGATTGCTCATTTCAGTCTTGGTTTTCTTTATTTTCCTGCCATTCTTCTCCGGAGATTTTTATATTTTATTTATTTTTTGCAGCGGGGCTCCCTGCCAAGTGTGTTGTCTTCTAAGTGCATGATGCTACACATCCCCAGAGGCGTCCCCAACAATAATCCTCAAAGAGAATCACTGATGAATAGAGTGGCGAACCGTGGCAAGTATTAATGTTTGCATCATCGTCTTAAAAATGCAGGAGCGGAGGAATATATTTAATTAATGGCTGCTTTAATTCTCCCACCAACATCATTGTTGTTGCCCTCTCGCTGCTCCATTTGATCCCCGTGCAAACACTGAGCACTTTGATCTGAGAGGACGAGTCTGAAGTGGATTTCAGCCTTATTGCATGGTTTCACTGGCAGATTTAATTTTAGCACAGGCACTCAAAATAGTGGTTGTTCATCGAGTAGATGGATATTTCACTTAATATTTAAGCTTATATGTGGGTTGTGGCTCTTGGAAGCTGTATTTCGGGTGTAAATTAAGGGAGTTCCGCTATGTATAAGATGTGTAAATGTTTAAATAGGCCTTTTGTTTGGTGAAAGAAACTACCATCAGGCATAAATAATCACTGACTGATTCGGAAAAAAGTAATGCTTAACGTTGTTTTCATTAAATAAATACCTAAGTTGGGTCTTGCCACTAACATTTCAGTAATAAAGTCCATTTTATTAAGCACAAGAGGCACTGTGTTCTCACGTGGTGCATAAAAAAAAATGAAAATAAATAGCGTTTACATTACGGGACTTTAACAATTTAAGTGCCAACGTAATTTGCAGCCACACACAGCAAGTCGTTTCACGGGCAAAACACAGTGGAAAGTACAGTGTTTGACAGCAGTGGGATTGATTATTATGTCTGCGTGTAATTGTGTGCTGTGTTACCAGCAGCAGCAGCAGCACATGGGAGTGATAGCATGGAAAAAAAATGTGATGACCAGGAGCTTGTTTTTATTACGTTATTGGAACCTCAGCAGTGTGAAGCAGGCGTGTGCTCGCTGACATCTCCAGAGGTTAAAAGTTGTTCTGTTTTCCTTTGCATTCCAGCAGAAGTATAATAAGATCCATGTACTACAGCACATGTTAGTATTCATTTACTAAAAAACACATCAGTCTCAATCAAAGCTGCATAATGTCTCTGTCGTAAATTAACCACATTTTCCACTCGGTGCGGTGTTGTGTGGATCTGTGCAACGCCTGAGTTAACTTAAATTACTTATTCCTTCCCTCCGCAGAACACGATGCGGGTTAACTACCAGCATCCTCCCCCCTCCTTTTTTTTTGTTTTCATTACTCAGCCATTGTAAACGTTGTCCATGACTTGGCAGGCGAGCGTTGCGAGTCCTGGACTCTGACACCGTGTGGATCACATTTAACTGTTTAAAAAGGCATGTTTTGCTTGGAGCTCGCTCGTAGGCAGAGACTCGGCTGGTGGTGGTTTTAGCCACATGTTCCAGTTCATGGGCGCCTGAACGGGGCGCGTGCTTCCTCCCCAGTTTACACTCCAGTGACATGACCCAGAGAGGCCAAACACTTGCTGTGTGAGACACAAACCAGCTTGTCCCACCTGCGCTGAGCTGCACTGATTAGATAGGAAGGAGGTAGCCGCAGAGGGTTAAGGACACGGGGGTAGTACAGAGGGCAAGTTTGTCTTCTGCTGCAAAGCTTTGTTTAAATCTCCTTTTCCCTTCTCAGCATTTCTCTTTTTTTTCAGTTTCTTGCCCTTTCTGCATTTTTCCACATATGGCTGAATATGACTAAGACAGGTTTTTCTTCTTTAAATCACAAAGGTCAACAGAAATGACTTGTTATAGCAGCAGCAGGATGTCTTTGCTCTGTTTTCCTTTTCCACAAATATGAATTCTATCACTACATTTCCAGGTCACTGGAAGCTATTTTTAGTTTATCTCTTTCGCAGAGGAAAGGAATCAGTGGTGCGCAGAGCTTCAGATAGAGGCAAGAAAGAAACGTTCATTCCAAAAACAGAGTTTGTTTGAGCTGTGGTTCCTTTGGCGCCAGAGATGTGGCTGCCGGGAACACCTTCACACACACACACACACACACACACCTGAGGTCTGCAGTGCTGGAGCAGCGGCAGCCAATCAACACCAAGCTTGTTGTGAAGAAGACCCCACCCCGACTGCCAGTAATGTCCATTTTCAGGAGCAAGTAAGCTCGGTCTCGCTCGAAAGATTTAGTTTGGCTGAGTCTCCGCGCTGTTTTTCTTCTATGCTGGCTCAGGAGGTTAAATAGTGTCAGTCACACTGAGCAGCAAGTTTGTCTGGGCCAAAAACAGTGAGACTACTCTCAGAAAAGGCTTCACTTTTCCTCATAGGTTATTCAGGAACATTTCATTGTGTTGACTGTGAGCCTAACGGTGTATTTATTTGTTCTAAAGCAGCACAGAACGGGTGTATTTACCCAGGATTTGTGCATTTCTTTTTGATAAAGAGGCGTAAAAACACCTTTCCCGCTTTAGTTGCTGACGCCATGTTTTTGTCTGCTGAGGAGAAATCCCTCCATCTGGTCATGGGTCTGATTAAAGGCGATCATTATGGCATCAATGCGTCTCCCTCATAGACTTAAACCCCTGCCCACCCCTGAGGGGTTAAAAAAAAAAAGAGAGAAAATAAAGCATCCTTCATTACCCTGCCCTCCCGCCTTCTGCAGTCCCTCACCCCCCTTGAGTCACCCCCCTTGAGCACTATCCCTTTCCTGTGCTGTTTTGATGTGTAAATGAGCGCATTGAAAACCTGCAGGCCCCCAAAGAGATGCTTTCCATGAAAATGCAGCAGTCAGAGAGCACCAGAGTTCACACAGCTCACCACTCCTCGCAACCGGACTCCAATCAGACACCCAGTACGCCGCCGCTGTCTCGTCTGTTAGAGCGGGACACAAACATAAAATCACACACACACTATTGTACCGACGCATGCTGAATCATAACATCATGCAGACGTAAACATTTACACTGTGACCTCTGAGAAGAATCCACTCCAGAGGTTAAAAAAAAAAAAAAAAAAAAAACGCACATGTGAGTTCGAGAATTTGGCTTTGCAGTGACTTTTTTTGTTAAAATGAGGATACAGTGTCAAGTGGCTGAAGAGATACGGTGGCTGAGATTTTTTCTGCAGCATCTATCATGTCAGTGAAATGAAAGGCTGAGAGATTAAAAGACTGCTTCAGAGTACAGAGGATTGTCTGTGTGGTTCAGTGTCTTGGAATTTCAGAAGCACCGCAGAGGAAGAAATACACAAAGGTTTTTTATTCCATTCAAAATAACATGTTTTCTAATCAACAGCAACACATCTATCAGGAGTGTATGTACAATTAGATGAATCAAAAGTCCCTTTCATATTCACTCTCCGTTTTGTCTTTTCCTTCTCAGACAATCAGACATCCTCATTAAAGGGCTATACAATCTGCACAGCATACGCCACCCTCTATCCTTAGAATGGTAAAATCACATATCTCACACAAAAAGAACAATAACCTCAAATTAAAACAAAGTACTGCAATTTACCAGCAATTGAACTTACATAACTTTTCAGGGATGAAGCTGGAGCCACTATTAAGAAGGTCCTTCCACACAAAAAGTTTTAAAAAAATTATAAAGAGAGCTACTACACAAAATACATACATATTTGACCAAGGACATAAAGTTCAAGGAAGTGAAAACCCAAATGAAAAGTGAATATTTTCACACTAGACTCATAACAAAGAGTATAGAATTCATTGCATGATATTGAAGTCGCTACCCATCCTGAACCACAGGCTGAAAATCTTGCATTTCAAACTACAGTATGTTTGTTATAAATGTTCTTAGTTGTTTATTTGGATAATACGCATTTACAATCTTTGATGCAATCTGGATTTAGCTCCTGCAGTGAATGAAGGCATTTATTTAAAATTAGTTTGGGGAAAAGCGTCCACCAAATGAATGCAATGTAACGTGCAGTCAAAGATGCAGGCAGGTCAAAATGGATGCAAATAAGTGGTAACATCGAAGAGTAAAGGCCTGGCAGATTATATTAAGAACATAGTGCAGGAGGAGAAAGAGGACAAAGTTTCAAGAAAAAGTTTCCAGCTTTTTGCTGTATCTTTTTATTTTATTTTCATGTCCTTTGATCAATAGGCAGAAGACAGAGAAGTAAAGCTTTCTCATCCCCCTGTACTCATTCCTGTGCTCCGTCTGCCTGTGGCTGAAGGAGAGATGAATCAGTGAACAGAGGGAGGATCCGCCGCTCGCGCTCGCTCTCTGAAGCCAACAGCATTGCTGTGATCACTGTTAATCTCCTTTGCCACTCTGCTGCCATCTCCTCAGATACATCCATCTCATTTCCAATAGCGTGCACGGCCTCTTCTTCCTTTCTAATTAGGCATCGTCAAGATTTCAGAAGTCACCCTTTGGTGCTCTGCAGCAGGCGAAATTGCTGTTGGAGCCAGGGGGTCAGTGGTGGCAAGTATTTGTTTGAGGGTTAAATCACAGCGGGCCTTTCATCGTGTTGTTATGTTGCACGATCAGAGGCTTGGGATTATGTAGGTCAGACATTGAGAGAGTGAGAGCGCCCCTTTTGTAGCTGCCATTTTTATTCAGTTGCTAGGCAGCACCCTCTCTAATCTCTTGTACCAAAGAGTCTCTCCCCGGAGAAAAAAGAGAGGGAGCAGGAGTTACAAAGGACGGGAAAAAAATGTGAAAACAGCATCAACAAAGAACACAAACCCATGCAAGGACTCCTTTTAGAAACACTCTAAAGGGAGGGAGTGGAAAAGGACAGGATGTGGGAGTCTAAGCTCGGCCCTGAAACCCACTCTGGCCCTGCTGAACATCTTTAAACCCCCGTGGTTTTGTTTGTGCCATTGACTGAATCACTGAAGGATGATCACACAACTCCAACTGCAGGGTAGATTCAACATC